TGCCCAGGCCCTTCTAATCTTGCCCACTCCTCTCAGCCTTCCACCCCCTGCGGGCGGGCGGTCACAGCCAATGACTGAGCAGCAGCCCCGCGGTGCACTCTCCCTCTAGCTGAGCGACAGAGCAGAGGAACGAGAGGCCCGGGTCCCACACACTCACCCGGCTCACCCTTGGGGCCCATCTTGCCCGGTGGTCCCGGCTCCCCTGAAATCCAGAGACAGAGATGCTGTGAGTCCCGCCCAAACCCGGGGCCGAAACAACAGGGATTTGCAGCCAGAAGCCCAGTCCCAGCCGTGCCCGTCACTGGCTATAAGGGGCCTTCTGCTCCCGGGGTCTCACTTTGCCCTCAGAAAATGGGGGCAGACTCTCCACTCACCTCACAGAGTTGACCTTTGGACGCCGGGTGCCCCGCCTGGAGGCCGGCGTCCGGTAGGTTCCTGGCCCTTTGGTCCTGGCCTCTTCGCACAGTGATTGCTGCATTGCCGCCAGCCCCCCAGGTCCCCCAGGCCCCCCTAGGTCCCCGCCACTCCCTGGCAGCACTCACCTCGAGGGCCCGGAGCCCCCTTCTCCCCAGGACTCCCTGGGGCTCCAGGGCAGCTGGGCAGGAGGACAATTTTGCTGGCTTCCAGTTCCCTGGGTCCTGCAGGGAGATGCGGGGCCAGGTGGGCACAGAGTGGTCGTGGGGGGCATGGGCATGTCTCTCCCAGACCTCTCTGAGGGCCCCTTTCTGTCTCCCAGATTCCAGCTGTCGGGACACTTGCCTCCAAGAGCTTTCAGAGCTCTGCACTCTCTGCACCTGTTTGCAGAGCCCAGGCTGTCAAACTCCCACCTGCTCCCCGAGGCCCGTGAAGCCCGGGACCTACCTGAACAGCTGGGGGGCTCCTCCGTCCTCAGGCAGGCAGGCTCCCTGAGCAAGAGGAGCAACAGGGACAGTGGAGTCCGAAGGAGGCCCATCTCGCTCTTCCACTGGCGTGCCCTCGAGAGAGGATGCCAGTTTATAAGGGGCCAGGCTGGTGGAGGAACGTGGAGAAGGACTTCCGTCCATTGTCTTTCCCCAGACACACCCGCCCAGGTTGGAGCCCGCAGGTGGTGGGGCACTTCCTCCCTCGGCCCCAAAGAGAATGAGCCCTGTCCCTGCCCTGTTCACCTGGGATGGAGTCCAACTTCCGGCCCCGATCGCCAGGCCTCCGGGGCCTTCTCGCCAGACCTTTGCGTTCACGGGGGACTCTCCGCCTTTGGGCCTCAGCTCGTTCTGAGCCTTCCCTCTGGAACGCCCTTCTCTTCGCCTCACTGTGAAGCCACATGTGCATGAAGTTCCAGCCCCAAGGTCACCTTCACTAGGAATCCCTCCCCGACCCTGTCAGCCGTGCCCGAGACCACTGCTTCCACTTACTGGAGCTGCTGCATCATGCGCCCCCGGGCCCCGTTTGTATGTCGCCTCCGATCCTCACACAGCCCTGCTCATGGTCATTCTTATGGCCCTGGGTTTTAGGCCTGGTACAAAGGTGGTCAGCAAATACTGGTTAAATGAAGGAATAAGCAAGGAGACACCGAGGCCCAGAGACAGGACATGGCTGGCGCTCACTCTGGCACTCATGTGCGTTTTTGCACAAGCCCCATGCCTTCCCCCAGAGAGAGGGACCCTTTACAAAGTGACGTCATGCCCACCCTAAGTCCCTTGGGGAGCCCCTGGCGGGGCCTAGGACAGGTGCTAATCGAGGCCAATTGCATGGGCGGCCCAGGCAGGAAGGAGGCAACAGCCATGATCCAGAGGTGAGCAGTGAGGTCTGAGCTGGTAGGGGATGTGAGGGGAATTTCATTCGTTCGTTCGTTCATTCATTCATTCATTCATTCATTCATTCATCAAACCCTCCTGAGGGCTTCCTCTATGCTAGTCCCAGAGCTTGTGGAGGTGGGGAAGGCTGAAGGACACTGGGAGGCTTCAGGAAAGGGGAGGCCAGATTCCCAGGCAGGATGGACCTGTGACGTGGGTGCTCGGAGAATCCTACGTTCCACTTCTGGAAAGCTGTCCTCCCCAGACTCTCCCTCTGGTGTGCCAAGATCTGCGGGCGAGCCTGTTTATCACGATGCTGTTTATACCAGTGCTATCCAATGTGGAAATGACCCGACTGGACATGGACAGGATGCAGGCCAATATGTCATCACCATGTGGACAAGTCATGGGGCAAATCTGAGGGGTGATGGAAGGGGCAAAGTTGCAGAACAATATGTACAGCGCAGCCCCACTGTGTATTTACAGACACTAACTGCTGGGAGTTCACAGGAAAAGGTTGAAGTACACAAGAACCATGGTCACATCTGGGGAATGAGACCAGTGGGACAGCGACTGGTCTCCTTTCTTTTTTAATCCTCACCCAAGAATGTTTTTCCATTGATTTTTTAGAAAGTGAGGAAGAGAGAGGGAAAGACAGAGAGAAACATTGATGTGAGAGAAACAGCCATTGGTTGCCTCCTGCATGAGCCCCGACCAGGGCCCAGGTGAGTGAGGAGCCTGCAACCAGGTTACACGCCCTTGACCAGAATCGAACCCGGGACCCTTCATTCTGCAGGCCAATGCTCTGTTCTCTAAGCCAAACCGGCTAAGGCTCACTCTTTTTCTTTTTAAAAAAAAAAACATATTTTGTTGATCTTTTACAGAGAGGAAAAGAGAGAGATAGAGAGCTAGAAACATCAATGAGCAAGAAACATCAGTCAGCCTTCTGGACACTCCTACTGGGGATGTGCCTGCAACCAAAGCACATGCCCCCCACCAGAATCAAACCTGGGACCCTTGAGTCCGCAGGCCAACGCTCTATCCACTGAGCCAAACTGGTCAGGGCAGGCTCACTCTTTTTGTTGTTGATGTTAAGCCTCACCTGATGATATTTTTTCCATTGATTCTTTAGAAAGAGTAGAAGGAAGGGAGGAGGAAAAAGGGAGAGAAACATCGATCTGAGAGAGACACATCATTGGTTGCTTCCACACATGCCTCTGTTGGGAGGAGGCTCAGGGCTCAAATCTGCATCACAGGTACTTGCCCTTGACAGGGAATCGAACCTGAGACCCTTTGGTGCACAGCCTGTGCTCTTACCACTGAGCTAACCAGCCAGGGCTTCCATTGATTTTAGAGAGAGTGAGGAAAGAGAGGGGGGTAAGAAGTGGGGGAGACATCAATGTGAGGGAGACCAGCCAATGATCCAGCCTGTAACCCCGGCACCTGCCCTTGACTGGGAATCAAACCCGCGACCCGTTGTTGCATGGGCCGATACTCTAATCACTAAGCAACACTGGCCAGGGCAATTCTCACTGTTTATATAAACTTCTGTATAGGCCTTTTGTTCCTTACTGGCATTTACTACGTTAGGAAAAGAAAACATTCAGTGAGTAAATTTTCTTAACTGCTCGGAGAGCCAGCGGGAGGCGGGCCATTTCCTCCCTTGGTCCCAGAGAGAAAGGGCATTATCCCTGCCAGCTCTTTTTTAAAAATATATTTTATTGATCTTTTACAGAGAGGAAGGGAGAGGGATAGAGATTTAGAATCATTGAAGAGAGAGAAACATCGATCAGCTGCCTCCTGCACACTCCCTACTGGGGATGTGCCCGCAACCAAGGTACATGTCCTTGACTGGAATCGAACCTGGGACCCTTGAGCCAGCAGGTTCTATGCACCAAGCCAAACTGGTCAGGGCCCTGCCAGCTCCTAAGTGCTGGTTGGAGAAGGGAGAAACTGAGGAGGGGATCCAGGCAGGGAGAAACTGCGTGTGCAAAGGCTTGGAGCAGAAAGACAGGCATGTAACGGGAGGTGGGTCCAAGTGGCTGGAGGTTCACAGGGGGCTGAGCGGGTGGTGGGCCCTGGGGGAAGTGTGCGTGGTCTGCTTTGTGTGGATGGTGGAGTGATGTGCAGGTGGGTGAGCCCTGTGAGGCCAGGAGCAGCCAGAACTCCCCGTGGAGGCCCGGCGGCAGCGGAGACCTGGAGAAGAGGCACAGAGGCTTGGCTGCAGGCTGCGCAGCGGGCAGGGTGGGTGGGTGCGCTGGCATGAAGCTGATGGGGCACGTGCGCCTGCTCTGAACCTTCCCCAGTCCCACTGAGATGGATACTGCTGTTCCCCCTCTTGACAGATGAGGAAACTGAGGCCAGAGCTATTCAATAACTTGCTCCCGTCCGCACAGAGCAGCTAGGTTCCACAGGCTGAGCTCTCAGCTTCCTGGGATCATGGATCAGACTCCTGGCCACATGCCTGGCTTCCGGCATGCGCCCTCCAGAGGGAGATGCTATTAGTCAGGAAGACTTCTGGCCCCAGGGGCTGGAGGGAGGGAGGGCATGGAGGGGCCTCCCAGGAGGGCCTGAGTGAGGAATGGCTGCTGAGGGTTATGGGGTGCCTCCATCTCAGAAGAGAGAGCCAGGAAGATGCCTGGGGGTTCTGAAGTGCTGCTCACCTGGAGCTAGAAAAACCTGGATTCCAGCCCAGCCCTGCCCCATCCCACGTGTGATCTGGAGCAAGTATGCTTATCTTCCTGAGTCCCTGTGCTCTTATCGGTAAGGGGGCGGGGGAGGGGCGGGTTAAACACGTACAGCAGATGGACATGTTTTCACAGGTGACAGCAGCCGTCCGAGGCTGGATTCTCACCGCGGAAGGGGCAGCGGCATCCCCCCACCCAATCCACGCACAGCCCAAGACGCGGACACACAGCACAGCTGGAAAGAGTTCCTTTATTCGGGGGCAGTGCCGGGCCAGGCCGGTGGGAAGAGGCGGGCACAGCCCCAGTGCCAAGCAGGTACCGGAGGGGGCCCACGGGGATGACGGATGAGATAGGAGGTGGCTGACGGATGCTCTCAGCTGCAGGTACCAGGCCCAGGTACTGACACCGAGACCGCTCGGTGCCTTCAGGGGCCAGACATTGGCGGCCAAAGTTTTTCCCATTCCCGGGGCTCCTGAGGAGGTGGAGAGAGCCCCCGCTTCGTCCTCCTTCCCCTCAGGGTGGGATCCAGGCCTGAAGGGGGTCAGATTCTGCAGAAGCCAGACATGGAGGGCGCTCGGAGGGGGCCCTGCCTGCGCCGGGCCGAGGCCCCACCCCAGAGAGCAGGCAGCAGACGGGAGAGCAAACACCCTGCTGGAGGCTGCAGCGACCCGCCCCACAGCACACACGGCACACGGGGGCCCTGAGCAGCTCCCCTGCGCAGAGGAAAACCAAACAGCACACACAGCCCAGGTCCTGCCAAGGCCAGAGTCGCGCCCGGGCTGTCACCTACTGGTTCTCCTCCCTGCCGGCAGCGTGAGGGAACAGAGACAAGCGGGCTCAGCAGGGCGCTCAGAACCAGGCCCGGGCTGAGCCAGTTCCTGGCAGAGAGAACCCCACAACTGGAGGGGGAGGGCTGTGACTCACACGGGGACACTGGGAGGGAGTCACTGCCCTTAGGGAAGACAGCAGGCTGTCTGTCACTCAGAGGGACCCCAGGGCAGGAGCGGGTGGGGGTGAGCCGGCCTCGCTGGCTGGCTGGCCGGCCGGCAGGTCGGGCACTCACAGCGTCTGGTAGGTGCTGTCCTTGGCCTTGAAGAAGCGCACGACGAAGAAGGCCACGGCCTGCAGGCTCAGCACCAGCACCATGCCTCCGATGAAGCTGGCCCCGTCAAAGCCAGGGCTGTGAGCCTCGGGGACAGGAGGACCCTCTGCAGGGTGGAAGTCATAGCAGGTCACCGAGGACTGGGACCCCAGGCCTACCCAGTCACCCCCATCTGGGGACCCCGGTCCTCACTCGGGGGCCCCCAGTCCTCACTCTGGGGGCCGGAGCAGCGGGCCTTAGCAGGGTCCTATGGGCAGTTTGGGGGTCGGGGCAGGGGCACTGCAGCCCTGGAATTGCTCTGTGTCTGAATGCTCTTCACACCCTCTCTGCCTCCTGGCCACACGGACCAGATGGTAACCGAGCTCCCTTCCAGACTCCCTACCACCCTGGCCCCAGAGGATGAGGATGGACCCAGGACTCAGACATCCAGGTCCCTTTTGACCTTGGATCTCGAGGCTCAAAGTCCAGGTACAGATGACATGGTTTCCTTCCAGGACTTCTGAGACCCTGGAGCTACCAAGGTCAGAACCTACCTTAAAGGGAGGGAGCGAGGCCCACGCCCTGTCTACCCCGCGGAGAGACAAATGGAGGCTAGGTGATGCATGTCGAGGGAGAAGCCAGGTCCTGAGGGCCAGCCCTGTCTAGAGTCTCCTCACAGTTAGGACGTGGTCCAGACGTACACGGTGTCCCCTAACCCCTCCCAGCCCCACCGCAGGGACCATGGTTGTCAGCCTGAGCCTGGGTGGCTCCCAGCGGTGCCACGTTAGCCATCGACTCTCAATAGGGATTTGATTTCAGGCCTGGGCCCGGTGCCAGGGCAGGGCAGGGCAGGGCTGGTGGTGGGAGATCAGCCTGGGGGAGTGGACAGGGCCCCGCTGGGAGCCGGCCCATTCCCCAGAGGGTGTAGCTTGTGTTAGGAGGTCTGAGAATGCGAAGGGCAAAGGTGGTCCCCGCGGCAGCTGAGGGAGCCCTCTCTGGGGGAGAGGAGAGAGGAGGGCAGAAATGAGCCACACCAGACTGATCTGGGGCCTGAGCTGGAGGGAGATGACCATCAATAATTCAGCCTCCGAGATCACGTTTCTGGCTTTAATTAACCAAGAGCCTCTTCGGCCATCACCACCAAGCCTGCTGGACTCCAGGTCCCAAGGAGCAGGGGGGGGCCAGGGGTAGGGCTCTTGCCTCTGTGTTGCTGGGGACCGGCTTTGTGACCCTCTCTGGACCAGTGGGTGGTCACAGTGGGCATCTCATTGGCAAACTGAGCCATACGCTCAGGGGTCACCCTGACTCTCAGAAGCCGCGTTGGGGAGAAGGGATGGGAACCATCATTGCTTATCGCCTTCCTGCCATCAGACAGGGAAGCGGGGGCTACACACCCTGTCATAAACCCCCACAGCAGCAGTGGAAGGTGGTGCCCAGACAATATTGCAGACATGGAAACAGGCTGAGGGAGAAGTCACAGGTCTGAGGTCACAAAGCCTGTCAGTGCCTGAGCCCAGCCCTGCCTCTCCCTGCACCTCTGCCCAGTCCCCCTAAGCGGTACCTACCTGTTGTGATTGTCTTCGGCTCGTGGGTGGGGTGGTGGTGGGCAGCTAAAGAGACGGGGAATCCATAAAAACCCAGCCCTCCCAACCCCCACCTCCCGTCAAGACCCCAGGCCTGGCCAACAGCTGGGCTTCTGAACCAGATCAGGCCCTCGTCCTCTGTCCCGGGCCCAGATCCCCCAGCACACTCTCAGGCCCGAGTTCATGCAGCCTCTTCCACTAATGTGCCCTCTCTCCATCTCCTACTACCTCCCCCTGAAAGCCCTCCCTGTTTGCTTCCGAAGTCCTCGCTGAGCTTTAACTGAGAAGAGCTACCTGCCCCATCGCCGGCTCCGCACGCCTGTCCTGCATCCTCCATCTGAGCCGTTTACAGATGAGGAAACAGGCGAGAGGGAAGGAGCTCTCTGGGAGCTGAAGGCAGGACTGGAACTAGACTCAGGTGCTCACAGGCGGTCCGCTCCCCGAGAGAGGAACTCCTGGAGGGCAGGCTCTGTCTGGGGACACCTCTGCCCCCCCGCCCCCTCCCCCCAGTTGTGCTTAGGCCAGTGGGGGCCCCTCTACCTGGACACGACGCAGAGTGGTTGTAGACGGAGCAACCTTCCTGGACCACCTCGGCTTGGTCCACACAGTGTCCTGTGGGAGGAAGTGAGGGGGAGGCGTGGGGAGAGGGGCCGAGGCCCTGGGGCTCAGAACTGGGGCGCTCACCTCGGGGAGGGCCGGATGCCATACCTGGCTCCTCGGGCTGACATTGCTCCCACACGCAGCCCGAGAGGTTGTGCGCCCTGTCCTCCTCCACGCAGTGCTCACAGAGCTTCAGCTGCTTGCAGGTCCCTCGCTCCGCTGGCCAGATGTTCATTCGGAGCAGGGCTCCCCGCCCAAAGCCTCGAGCTCCTTTGCCTGGGAGCGGGGTGGAAGCCACTCCTTGGCTGCAGCCCCCCTTCCTCACCACCGTGCCTCTCCCTGTCTGCACACACACCACACACTCACCTGGCTCCCTGAATCCCCACGGCACACCTGGAGCTTCACAAACACACAGCACACCCCTAGAACCTCCTTCAGCACACACCCAGCGTCCCCTTCCTTGGCCTGTACCTGTGGCTCCAGATACACTGGAAGCTGCCTCCCTCAGACGCACCTGAAGCTCCCTACTATGTACTTACACCGGGCACCACACACAGCTAGAGGGCCTTTACCCACCCTGGGCCCTGCACCCCTCTCCACCCCTCCCAGCCCTGATGCCCCTGGATGGGCGGCTGGATGAAGGGCGCACCACCTGCCCGCTCCTAACCAGACCCTGGCCCGCCTTACCAGCCACTGCGAGCTGGGCACACAGGAGGAGGACGCAGCAGCCGCCGCAGAGCGCAGCCCGTAAAGCTCGGGGTCCCGGCACGGCCATGGGCGCGGGGCGGGGCTGGGGTCAGCGGAGAGCTGGTGCGGCGCGTCCCCTCTGGGCTGGCTCCGCCGGGGTGTGCGGACCAGACCCGGCGGCGGGGGCGGGCCGGTGGGCGGGGCCAGCGGCGCAGCCAGGGGCGGGGCCTGGGCCTGGGCGGGGCCATATAGGGTGTGGGCAGTGGGGCGCGGTCAGGGGGCGGGGCTCAGACAAAAGAGGGCGGGTCCAGGACTCCTGGCCACCGGGTCCTGGATGCGGCCAGGGCAGCTTCCCGGAAACTGCGGAGTAGGCGGTGTGCCTACTTCACAGGTGAGGAGGCGGAGGCCCAGAAAAGGTGAGTGTGTAGTTAGGGTTAGTGGTAAAATCCGTGTTTGAGACAAGGCCACTTTCCTGTGAAGTGCACCCTCCAACCAGGCCCCTCTGCGGACCCGCTTCCGCTGGCCCAGGCTCTGGCTGCCACCTAGCTTCGACTATATATATATATCATATTGATTTTTTTACAGAGAGGAAGAGAGAGGGATAGAGAGTTAAAAACTTGGATGAGAGAGAATCATCGATCAGCTGCCTCTTGCATACCCCCCACTGAGAATGTGCAGGCAACCAAGGTACGAATCCAACCTGGGACCTTTCAGTTTGCAGGCCTATGCTCTATCCACTGAGCCAAACCGGTTTCGGCCTAGCTTCGATCTTTGCAGCCTCATTTCTTTGCCCCTCAGCGCACCATGTCTGCCTCCAGCCCACCGCATCCTCTGACCAAGTCACCGGTCTCATGGCTCCGGGCAAGTGAGCCTCTTCACACTTTCCTTTCTGCCTTGACTCCTGCCTTGGCACCGACCTCTTCTGGTCCCTCTCCCACTACTGCCACTTCTCAGGTTCCTTAGAGAATGCCTCCTCTGCCTCTTTTTAAAAAACTTATTATTAGCTGAAGCCAGTTTGGCTCAGTGGTAGAGCGTCGGTCTGCGGACTGAAAGGTCCCAGGTTCGATTCATGTACCTTGGTTGCGGGCACATCCCCAGTAGATGGTGTGCAAGAGGCAGCTGATCGATGTTCCTCTCTCATCTACGTTTCTAGCTCTCTATCTCTCTCCCTTCCTCTCTGTAAAAAATCAATAAGATATATATTTTAAAAACTTATTATTAATTTTCAGAAGGAAACATCAATTTGCTGCCTCCTACACGTTTCCTACTGGAGATCAAGCCTGAAACCCGGGCATGTGCTCTTGACAGGAGTCTAACTGACAACCTTTCAGTGCACAGGACAATGCCAACCAACTGAGCCACCCCAGCTAGGGCCTCCTCTTCCTGTCCCCCCTCCTGTCCTCTCCTCCTTTTCTTCCCCTCTCTGCTTCTTTTCCTCCTTCATCGCTAGTGGCCCAGTTCAGTCCTGAACCTGGGACTCCTAGGGTCAGCTCAGCCATTTCTCTGCCATCAATTCCCATTTGAAAGCAAACGAGTATCTCTCCATCTTCAGCCTCCTGCTCCCTCCCCAGCTGAATGTACATCCTACCAAGAGCTTTTTCTTGTAGCTTCTCATCTAATTCCCACTACCCTCTTGGTATGGGTTTTGTTATCACCCAATTGCAGGTTTCAGAAGTGACATCACCTGCCCAGGGGCACATGGTTACAATGGGTGTGTGTGTGTGTGTGTGTGTGTGTGTGTGTGTGTGTGTTAGGATGTAGCCCAGGATCCAATGGCCAGAGGCTGCTCTCCCCTCTGGATCCATCTGTTTCCTGGGCACCTGAGTGCCTCAGGCCCCTGAAACCATCTGGTCCCTCTTCCCCACCCAGGAGGGTCCCTTTGCCCCCTGTCACCCGATTGGGAACCATGGTCTCATCTTCACCCCCTGCCTCCTCGTATCTTCCTGATCCTAGCCCCTCATCTTCTCTTTGCTGGCCTCACTGTCTCAGCCTCTGGGCCCTTCCCCAAGGTGGCCCTCACCGTGCAGGGCTCTCCTGAAACCATGAATGTGGCCATGTCTCTCCCAAGGGTTGGCTTCCACAACCCTTTTATTCCTGGCTCTGTAAGTCTCTCCAGCATGTCTGGGGCTGACCCCAACACCTTCCTGTCCCCCAAGAAAATAGAACAGCCCCTCTCCCAACACACCTTGCATCTTACACCTCCTCGCCTTTATCCTCTAGCTGTTCTGTCCTGGAGAGTCCTCTTTCTCTCCCGACTCCATCTGCTCAGCGAGCTCATCTTTCATGACATCACTAACGGGCCACCTCCTGCAGGAAGCCCTCTGCCTGCCTCAGAGCTGGGCGGAGCTGTTGCAGCACAGGTCTCGCTGGTAGATCCGAATCATCTGCTTCCTGCACACTACACTCCTCTCCTCACCATCTCCTGCCTGGGTGACTGCAGGCCTCCTAGCGGGGCTCCTTCTTCTGCTCCCCACTCAGGTCTGTTCCCCATCTAGCAGTCAGAGCAATCCTTTGAAAATGGAAGTCAAATCATATCACTCTCTGCATCAGCCCACCAATGGCTTCCATGATTTACATGATCTTCTTCCCCTCCCTACCCTCAACCCCTTATCCCACCCACCTCTCTGCGCTCAATTCCTACCCTTAGCTCCTTCACCTCCTCTCCCTCCCTCAACGCATTTCCTCCTCAGAGACTTTGCACTTGCTGTGCTCACTCCTCGAAACTCTTCTGCTCTCTCTTCAAAGGACTCCCTCCGTGGTCTCCCTTCCTAGTTATGTCACATGATGACACCTTCTTTCCCTTCAGAACCTAAAAAACTCATTTGTTTCCTAGGCTGTAAATCCCACGAAGGCAGGAAAAATGTCTGTCTTCTGCCCTAGCCAGTTCAGCTCAGTGGATAGAGTGCTGGCCTGCGGACCAAAGGATCTCAGGCTTGGTTCTGCTCGAAGGCACTTACCTTGGATGCAGGCTCCTCCCCAGCCCTGGCCCTGGTTGGGGCTCTTGCAGGAGGCATGTGCAGGAGGCGATGTGTTTCTCTCACACTGGTGTTTCTCTCTGACTTTCCCTCTCTCTTCCACTCTCCCTCTCACCTTAAAAATCAATGGGGAAAAAAAAATCCTTGGGTGAGGATTAAACAAAAGTCTATGTTCTTCCGTAGTTAATTCCCAGCACACATAGGGCTAAGTAGTTGTTTATGAAATAACCACACTGTACCATATTGTGTCTGTTTGTGTGCATGTTTGTCTGTCCCACTGCTCTGGGAGACCCTCAAGGGGTCCCTACTCAATACCATTTGAGCACCTGTTTGCGATTGTCCGTCTCCCTACATTAGGCTGGAAGCTCCAAGAAGAAGGCAGGGATTTGGGGGATTTTTGTTTATTGCTGTGTCCTCTGTGCCTAGAACAATGCCTGGCAAATGGCAGACGCTCAATAAATACAGAACGTGGAAAATGCAGGATGTGACCAAATCATCTCTCCACCGCGCACCCACTCAAGCCCAAGCCCAGGGAATGAATGGGTCTGTGCTAAGGATGCTTGCACTGGTGAAGCCCAGATTCTCTGTGTGGCCAAGGCGTTTATGTGGACCTTACCTGGGTCTGTCTCACTCACACAAACCTCCTTTGAGAGCCTCCACCCACAGGGAAGTCTTACCTGGAACTGAATGCTCACAGCCACCTGCTGGTCACCTGGGGAACTTCAGGTGGTGTCATTCCAGGCCAAATGTCACTTCTGGGGAGATGGTGGCCGTAGGCTAGCATGGGAAGGCACACTGGACTTGGTTACAGACAGCCCTGGCTTCAGATCCAGCTCTGTCATTTGCTGTGTGATTAGGGGCAAGACTTTCTGCTCCTACAGGCTTCATCTATGAAGTTGGGATGCAGAGTTGTGGTAAGCACTGGTAGGTGGAAAGGATTGGAGAAGGCATTGATGGTGGGAGAAGCGAGGAGCTGGAGCAGAGGAGGAGAGAGAAGGAAGGGCTGCCTCTTCCTCTAGAGCAGTGTTTCCCAAACTTCTGACATATGTGTACCCTTCTATAATTTCCGTAACGCTGAGTACCCCTTGTACTCATGAGAACGTAGAATTAGGCGCAGCTAAGCACGGTGCAGTGCATATCCCCACCAAACTCCGGTGCAACGCGTACCCCCACCAACCTCTTCCCGTACCCCTGGGGGTACGTGTACCACACTCTGGGAAACACTGCTCTAGAGGGCAGATCTTTGGAGAAGAGAGGCCTGGTTGGCACTGATGGCCTCCATTAGCCTGTCGGCATGGTGGCAGCGTTGGAGGTGGAAGTGTGCCTGTAAAAATCCATAGGTTCACTGGAGTCTCTGGGATCTCAGGGTTAGAAATGTCACTGCACTCTTTCCCTCCCTGCCTGCCCGAGGACCCGCCTCCACCATGAATGACACAGTAACTCCCCAGACCAGGAAGTACTGGCTCATCAACCACCTAGCCATTGATGTGTGGGAAGGCAGTGGTAGCTAAGACAGAAAGTTGGAACAAACTAGCCAGATTCCATCTTTTTTTAAATTTTTTATTTCATATATTTTATTGATTTTTTACAGAGAGGAAGGGAGAGATAGTTAGAAACATCAATCAGCTGCCTCCTTCACAGCCCCCACTGGGGACGTGCCCGCAACCAAGGTACATGCCCTTGATCGGAATTGAACCCGGGACCCTTCAGTCCCCAGGCCGACGCTCTCCACTGAGCCAAACCGGCTTCGGCCCAGATTCCATCTTACGGTTGGAGTCAGAAGCCACTTTGGTGGTGGTAAAACAACTGGCTTTGACATTATTTGTGATTCCTTGAATGTAAAGAAAAATGGACCCAAGCACAAGTTTGCAAGACATGACCTACAGAAGCAAAATACCCCAAGAAAACAGCGAATGGAATGCAAGAACAGAGTGAAGGAGGCCAGGGCTACAGGAAAGGCCGATATTGGCGCAAAAAGGAGTAAGGACTCTGCAATGACTTAATCTGTGGTCATTGTGCAGATTTTTCATGAGATAATTAATAACGTGAATAAACAAGGATCTCTGCCACTCGGAATAGCAGAAGACAGTCTCCAACACACCCCTTTCTGGCC